CTGCACCTTACACTAGCACATTCAGCATTCCCTCGCTCAACGTCCTAGTGGGGGGCTAGGGGTAGTGTGAAGTGTGAAGTGTTCGACCCAGGAGGTCGGCACGAACGCGCTTAATGAAGTGTGAAGGGTTCGACCCAAGAGGTCGGTGTGAAGTGTTCGACCCAAGAGGTCGGCACGAACGCGCTTAATGAAGTGTGAAGGGTTCGACCCAGGAGGTCGGCAAGAACGCACTTAATGCTTAAAATATTCTGAAGTGTGAAGTGTTCGACCCAGGAGGTCGGCAAGAACGCACTTAATGCTTAAAATATTCTGAAGTGTGAAGTGTTCGACCCAGGAGGTCGGCACGAACGCACTTAATGCTTAAAATATTCTGAAGTGTGAAGTGTTCGACCCAGGAGGTCGGCACGAACGCGCTTAATGAAGGGTGAAGTGTTCGACCCAGGAGGTCGGCACGAACGCGCTTAATGAAGGGTGAAGTGTTCGACCCAGGAGGTCGGCAAGAACGCACTTAATGCTTAAAGTACTCGGTCGGAAGTGCGAATTGTTCGACCTAGGAGGTCGGCAAGGACGCGCTTAATATTTAAAGCACTCAGCCCCAAGGGGTGAGGTGTGAGGTGTTCGTCCCCGGAGGTCGGCACATAGCATTGCGGGTGGGCAAGGAAAGAAGAAAATAACTCTTCGAAATCTTGTGTATACATTGCAAGCCTATCTATTACAAAGCTTCCGAGCTGCCTATCTATTACAAAGCTTCCGAGCTGCCTATCTATTACAAAGCGCCCTGCCTATCTACCGTAAAATTTCCGAGCTGGTAATCCCCTTCGATGTCTGTTCTACCTGCTGGCGGCCTGACCGGGGTGGAAGCTGAAAGTACATCTTAAGCATGTTGAGAGGCGTATGGTGAAGGCTATTCAGGAACCCGGAAGCAGGAAACCCCTTCCGTCCTGGATGGACCTCCAAGAGCATTTTCAACTGGAGCATGGTCACATCCTTACAAAAAGACAGAAAGGGTTTCTGGAGTGGCTACCGCCCTAGGCCACCGGCTCTTTCCCGGCAGCTCTGCCTGGAGACCCGTCCTCCTCCAGGGGAACCTCCTCTGGGTCTGCTCCTACGTCGGTTCGGCGGACCAGGCTCTTCAGGGCATGCCCCTTTCGGTACCCATCAAAGAGCCAGTCCAGCCTATCCTCGGCCGCGGGGTCGTAGTCCTTGAAGTCCGCCACGTTGAAGCCGGGTAGGTTGAGGCCCTGCACCTGGGTCAGGGCCCGCGTAGAGCCAACCTGGAGGATGGGCTGGTTGACGAGGGCGATGTCCACCTCGAACTGATCGGAGGAGATGAACTCCCGAACAGCCTTCTTCCGCTCTCGGCTGACGGTGCCGGAGAGCTCTATGGCATGCTCCTCCTTCAACCTGGCCACACCAGCCCTCTCCTGGTCGAGCTCCGACCTGGTGGAGGCGAGCTGGACCTGGGCGGCGTCCATCTCCTTCTCGGCCTTGTCTAATTTGGCCTTAAGGGAGCTGGCCTCCTGGAGGGCCTGGGAAAGCTTTCTCTCCGCCTCCAGGTTCTTCTTCCGCAACTTCTCTAGGTCGGGAGACAGCTCGGAGAAGCGGGTAGCCAGGGCGGCACCAGCAGCGTTGGACTGGAAAAGAGAGAAAGCAGATCAGCATGCCACATCACTCAACCCAGACACGGGGGTGAAATTAACCAATGGGTGATACTTACTTGGGCCTGGGCGGTGTAGTACGCGTCCAAGACCTCGGAGGGGCTGGCCAGCTCCATCCACTTCCTATCCCTAGGAAGGACCGAGCCCACCATCAGCTCGCGAGCCACCTCGGGGAACTGGGCTCGGTCGTTGATGGAGAGTTTCCAGGACGGAGAGAAGTGGCGGGGATCATGCATCGTGGGGGCTTGGCCTGGCTTCAGGGGAGCTATGTGGCGGAAGTGCCACAAGCTCGGGGGAGTCAATTCCTGGACCTGCTCCTCGGCAGAGCCCACTCCCAGGTGGACTGGTCCCCCGGAGACCCGCGCAAGAGGAGGAGGCTGTGCAGAGACCAGGGCGAGCCTCTTCTGCCCAGCCTGGGAGGGCTCGTCCCCTCTGCCCCTCTTCTGTCCGGCCGCCTTCTTTTTGCTGGCGGCCTGCTTGGAGGGGGATGGTTGTGATGTCTCCTTCTGGGGGGCTGAGCCGCCCCCCGGGGTGGAAGCCCTACCTGGGTCCCCCCGAGCAGCTCCGGGCTGGGGGTCGGGAGTGACCTCCTCGAGGGGTGCGCCCAGCAGCTGGGAGAGCTTCCTCACTGCAATGAACACCACCAGATCAGCCAAACGCAAGACAGTTAAGGGTTAAAAAGGAAAACCCTATACTACAAATGCGACAGGGGCAAGGCCAGCGTTACAGGTGTCGAGTTTGGGCTGGGGGGTAGCCACCTCCCCAGAGGATCCGGACACCGTCCCCATCAGCCCGGCTGCGGAGATCTGCTCAGTGGAGATCTTGGTGACATCGAGCTTCACCTTGGAACCCAACAGCTGGCCGAGGGTCTCGTAGTCCAGGTCCTCCGGGTAGGGGTCGGCCTTGACTCCCCCAACCTTCCACACATTGGGGGGAAAGTGTGTGGACCTGACAAAGAAGAAGTCCTCCTTCCAGTCCTTCACGGACGAGGGGAGCCCGTAGAACAACTCCTGGGCCCCTTTTCCCCCCTTGGTCTGGGGGCCACGACGGGAGAAGTAGTACCACCCCGGGAGGGCGGCCTTAAGAATGAAGGCAGCTCGGAAGAGGGAGAGAGAGTAGGGGATGTCGCAGAGAAGGCAGTAGATCAGGAATCCGGTGATGATCCTGATAGAGGTGGGATGGAGCTGTGTGATTCTGAGCCCCCAGTGGTTCAGAATCTCGGTTAGAGCTGGATGGATGGGGAGACGGAGCCCTGCGATGAGCTGCTCCCTATAGATGGCTACGAAGCCAGGGGGAGGCCGGCAGGCCCGGTCGTCGGGCCCGGCCAACCTCGACTCGTAGGCTGGAGGGACGGAGTACGACCTAGCCAGCTCGGCCAGATCCTGGGGAGAGAGGGTGGCCTCCTGCAGGTCGGGATAACCATAGGAGAATTTAGAATCGTTCCCCTGCTCGGGAGCAGGGGACCCACCCGATGAGCCCCTATCCTCCCCGGCACCCTCCTGGGCTCCGCCAGGGGAATCATGGGGGGATTTGGGGGAGGGAGTGGAGGTAGCCTGCCGCGCGATGAGCGCGTCGAGCTCGGCTGCCTCCTCAAGGGCTTGCGCCGAAGGGGAGTGGGCAGACGGAGAACTCATGGTATCGGTAGGCTCAAGTAGATCTGAGGTGTGGAAGCTGGGATTAGAAGCAGAAGAAGGGGAAGGGGGAGGAGGAGAAGATGGTGACGAAGATGAGGGTGAAGGCGAGGAAAGAACGATGATTCGGGGAGCTCGGCGGCGGATTGATACTACGGCAACAGAGGAGGAGGAATGCTCCGACATAAAAAGTGGGAGGTAGCAGAGGGCAAAAGAGACACCGCAAAGAGGGAAGATGAATCGCAAAAAGGACTTACTGATGACGGCAGAAGAAGGACTGAAGGCTCGCCGGAATCTTGGCACAGGACGCCGGAGGTTGCTGGAAAATGGAAATGTGGGTGCACAGGAAGAGTGATAACTTGAAATGCACAAGAAGGGGCGGAAATGGCAAATGGGACAGGTGAGTATTTGGCATCCCCTATTTATAGGGGGAAGAGTGGAGGGAAAACGGTTGCATGAATTTGAACCGACCCCCATGTGAACGCATTTAATGCGGGCACGAAAACCGAAGAGGCGGGACAGCTGAAAGGACGTGGGAGCAGCGTCCCTGTGACAGCACTGTACCAGAAGTGACCTCGGCAGGGTAGTGCGCGGTTCTGGCCTCCCACGTGGCGGAGATAGATTAGGTCTGCCTGACAGTCCTACCTAATCTAGGGGGCTAGTGCAGAGGCCCCGTTCTGGGCCCGGACACGCGGCAGCCCAGGAGGAACCGAGCTGGGCCTTGGCCCCCAAACTCCTGGCAGCAGCCCTGGGCCGCACCGGCTAGGGCTCCCAGGGGAGGCGAGGGTCCGTCCCGAGGAGGTCGGGAGTAATCCCCCTGAGTGCGGGATGCTATCTATACTGGGCAAGTCCCGCGTCGTGCGGAGGTCGGACTCCCCTGCAGGTACAAATAGTAACACACATCCACTGTACAAGGTACGCTCACTATTGACAATTTACTTTGGACAGTTGCTACTTCCCGTGGACCTTACTCACCGGAAAACTAACTTGGCCGTCGGAGCGCCCTCGGGGACAACCCTCGGGCCCCCTCTCTTGGCTCATCTTCTCTGTTTTGCAGGTCTTGGATCAGCCCTCCCATCGACACCCCGAGCTGATCAGGTCAGCTCTCCTCGGGGAAGCTCTGCGCTTCTTCAGAGGGCAGAAGGATTTATAACAGATACAAGTGTAGAAAGCATAGAAGATATTGCAGAGGGGTACTTGAGGGATCTGACTGAAAGAAGTCTAGTAATGCCTTCAAAAAGAAGATCACATGGAGGAATGAAAACATGTCACGTCCCTGACATGATGCGTACCTTATGCATCCGAAAGTGTGAAGAAGAAAACCTTTTGCAGTTTCAAAATGGGTATGATGAACTTTTTGATTCTTCTCACGAGGACATAGACCATGGTGTTGATCCCTATTGCATTTATTCCAAAATTTCTACCAAATACAAAAAACGTCGGCTGTCTATTCGTTCAAGAAGAAATCATTTTATCATGTCAAGACCTTCTGGGCCATATGTCCGCTCTCTGCTGTACTCTGCCACCAGTGATTCGTATCCAAGATGTCCCTATGACATCTCCTTCATTTTTGAGAACTTTAAACTTCTCAGAGTACTGGATTTGGAATGCATCAATATGGGGTATTCTTTCCCCACTGGAATACTAGTGTTGGTTGGTCTGAGATTTTTAGCTCTTTGTGGCGATATAGATAGTATTCCAGCATCAATAACCCACCTTCAGAATCTTGAAACCTTGCTTGTGAAGGGGTTGAAAGGTAGAATATTACTACCTTATGCTATATGGAGCATGGAAAAATTGAGACATCTCCATGTAAAAAATTATGCTACCATCACCCTGCAAGATGGCGAAAGCACAATTTTCTCCAAAGTACTTAATTTGGTCAGTCTTTCCTATCCATATCTCATTTATGGTATAGGTATAGAGAATATCATGAGGAGATTGGTCAAACTTCGGAAACTGAGGTGCGTGTTTTCAGAATTACGGGATGATACTGGAAAGTACAATCAGTTTCCAATTATGAATTTTCTAACCGAGCTTGAGTCCCTCAACATACTCTACTCAGGCCGCATTGGTCTTCCTTGTAAGTTTGACTTCCCATTGAATCTCAGGAAGTTAACTCTGTCAAAGTTTCGCTTGCCATGGGATTGTATTTCGGACATTGGGAGATTACCCAACCTTGAGGTTCTCAAATTACTGTCTAAGGCCTTTGAGGGCAAAGTGTGGGAGATGAAAGAAGGAGAATTCCTTAAACTTAAATTTTTGAAGCTAGACAGTCTAAACCTTTCTGAATGGAAAGCCTGTAGTGATCACCTGCCGCAGCTTCAGCACCTAATTTTGCAAAGTTGCAGGCAGCTCAAGGAGGTCCCCTCTGGTTTTGGGGATAGCTCTACTCTGGAGATGATTGAGGTGCAAATGTACACTAGCTCTCTTGCAGAGTCTGTGAGACGGCTTCAGGAGGAGCTAGAAGACATGGGGAATGAGCTGAAGGTCCTTGTTGAATTTTCGGACACGGATTTTTGATCACCTCTGAAATTTATGGTAGAACTTTGGCATGTTATTCTATATGTAGGTGAGTATATTCAATCTTTTGCAGGAAGTTTGTAGTTTCTCGATACCAATTTTTTTGATCCCATGCTTTGTTGGACTTCTCATCACCACTCAAATCATGATTATGATACTACCCTTCATTCATAATTTCATAGGTTTAAGTCTTGTATCATTTTAGTTCTGCTAATCTGCTTTGTAAAAGTATAATACTCATTTTAACTCTGCTAATCTGCTCTGTAGAAGAGTCTGTGAGACGGCTTCCAAGAGGAACAACTTGACACGGGAAGTGAGCTGAAGGCCCTTGTTTGATCGTTCCGACATGCTATTCTGGTAAAACTTTAGCATGCTATTCGGTTTAGATCTGAGTAAATGTATTCTTCTTTCATGAGTTGAAGTATTAGGTTTTAAATACTTTCTCTATTACCGATTTAGTATCCCTCCACTATTTGAGATTTGTAGTCAACACTCAAATCATGATTATTTTGCTCTTGAATCATCACTTCATAGGTCCAAGTATTGAAATTATGCACTTTTTGTTCTGCTTTCACACAAGTACAACTTCTTCAAGATTTTGATCCTGTTAGTTACAAGTAAATCTGTCAAAAGGAATCAATGTGTCCTGAATAGAGGAAATTTACGAAATGCAATAAAGGCAGATTAATCACCAAACTTTGTTGTATAGAAAAAAAAATTGAGGAAGAAGAAGATAGTGTGTGTACTTGCTAAGTGTCAATTCCAAATGCTTTTTAGTTCTTTGATTGATCGCCAAAATTTGGTTCTGTAGGCCACAACTTGGACAGTTACTAACAGAACTAGGCCCAGTTTGATAAGCCAATTCAGCACTTAAATTTAATGAATTCATATCTTAATATATTCAGACTGTTTAATTGTGACGCCCCGACAGATGAGTGTGAGAACCGAAAATTTTTGTATATTTTTGAGACATTATTTTGTTTCTTGTTTATAATTTTATGCCTTTCTTCAATATATTAATTTCGTATATATTTTTTTTAAGTAAATATAGTTTTCAAATCATTTTCTTGGTACAAGTTAGTCCATGTTAATTTTGAAGAGTATTACGAACGTGGAACCCGCTAGTGCGGTAAATGTAATATATTTTTGATAACTTGTTGGAGTTTTGTACTAAGTGATATTATTTTACAAGATGCTAAGAGATAATTAGATGTTACTTATATGGATTATCATTGGAGAGATAAAAAGATAAGTTTTAAACCAAAAGGTGACAAGTGTTACCTTCCAATTCACTCTTGGACTTTGACCTAACTTTCACCTTTACTAAAAACCAATTTTTGACCCAATTTTCTTTCATTTTTCTTGGTCTTGGCCGACCCATTTGAGGAGCAAAACATGAGAGGAAATTTCTTCATTTTCTAGCCTCAATTCTTGCTCAAATCTTGAGTTTCAACCACCCAAATCACAAACTACACCATACAAATGTTCAACTAGGAAGCTTAAAGGTTTTGGTGGAGTTGTTTTGGAGGAGGAAAGTCTAAACTACCATTTTGTCTTGAGTTTCCAAGGTATTTTGCCAAGAACTTCCTCTTTACTTCAATTAATTGGTGATTAGTGGCTTATAGTTGTTTTAGATGTTGTTTTGTGGAAGATTTCATGGATTGAGCTAGAGTCATGTTAAATTTCAGTTGTAAGATTTCAATTCTGCCTTGTTCTGACCAGTGTTATTCGGCCATGATGGAAGCTGAATCAGGCTTAGGTTAAAACATAAAAGTTGTATAAAATGGTGTTAACTAGCTGCCTGTAAAATTTCAGCTTGATCCGAGTGCTGTAGCTTGTGAAAAGTCCGAAATACCCCTGACTGTACATGAACCCTGTTTCGCGCCCAGATTTTTATTTTCGTGTAGTTTTCCATTTTTGACCATGAAAATGCATGATTTGGCTTTGGAGGTCTTCATAAGAAATGTAGGTTTATGTCTTGGCTTTGAAACACCATAAGATTCATTTCAATCCAATAAGGGTAGCTTCAATTATGGATATTGTCCCGAAAGGTGTTAAGCGGAAAATTTACGCTTGTGGGTGAATTTCTGGTTTCTAGGGTTTCAATTTGGGGGTTTTCTAATGGTTGGCTTTAAGCGTCTAATTGGTTTGATTAAAGAGGGTTTTGTGGCCTAATTGGATATGTTTTATCATTTACGAACTGTATGTGTAATTGTGGTTGATTGGGTTGGTATTGGTGTTGTTATTGTAGGTTGGACAAATGAAGCATTTAAGGGGAAATGCTGTCTGAACCTTGAGTGTATATAATTGCTTTGAATTTGTGAGTTAGGGCTTCGATTTGGACAAGATAATGAGATATGATGGATGATTCCTAAGCCGTAGAGGTGAGTGACCTTAAACTGTTTCCAAAGTTACTTTTGAAATGTTTCTTGCATTGTTTCTTTGGTTGCATCTCCTGTGTGCCGGCATACGAGTTTTTGACATGGTTTGGCTTTAATGAGTTCTTGAGGAATCTTGTGCTGGACACCAACGTCTCCACCACTTTCGTGAGTTTGTGATATGGTCTGGGGCACCGATGCTGCTCCCCCTTATTGTTTATGGTTTTGTGATCTATTTGAGCGTTGGGTGTTTAGTTTCAATGATTTCACTGGCTCACGAGAGCAAAAATACGTGCATTTGATACCTGAATCATGACATCATCGAAACACATTATTGTGAAATATATTTGCTTACTGATTTTAATGATTACTCACTGAGTTTCTAGCTCACCCCAAAAACTATTTTATTCCCCTCCACAGGGCTCGTGGCGAAGGAAGAGCTTGTAATACTTATTCATGCGACTGGATGGCCTATATTTTGTATAGTTTAGTTTTGGAATTCCTCCTGTATCATAGTTGGTATCAAGGATTAGAGTGGCGCAGCGGAAGCGTGGACGCTTCGCTTTTGATATGTAATTCTTGGATAATTGATGTATATTTGAGATTTATCTTGTAATTTAATTGAGGACGTTAGTGAGTGAGTAAGTCCCGACGAGAGTTGGGCAGGTGACCCGCCGAACTCTCTGGTTCGCCTTAGGGGGAGGTGAGGCTGTCACATTAATAATAAAAAATTGAATATTTGAATTAATTAAACGGCACTTAATTTTCTAGACAAAACTTGCTCCCATAATTAAGTGATAAGCTATTCATTTATTACTGAATGTGATAGACATCCAAATATATTAGATTTAATACTTAACAATTTAATAATTTAATGAATTTAGATTACGTATTTCAAATTTCAGATTTCAAATTTTAGTTTTTAGATTTCAGTTTTATCAAATGTACCTCTAATATACCAATATTTGTTTCAGTTGGCTGTCTGGAAAGAGAAAGTGGACCTCTTATAGCAACTTGATGATTTTATGTTTTATTGCTTTTGTCATACTATGAACACTGGTTTGAAAGACTTTCTGAATTTACCTTTAATTTTTGAGGAGTCTGACTTGATTTATATTAACTTTATATATCAGAGTATTTGGAGAACAGACATTATTGTAATTGTTGTCATCTTGTTAATATTTTGATGGGTAAATATACAACTGAATCAATTGATGAATGAAATCATATGATATCAACACTTTTCTATATTTAGTCATTTTTCATGCTGCCTGTTGCCTCGTATAGCAAGCAAGGGAAAAACTAAGGATAAAGCAAGTAAAATTTCCTTTATAATAAAAAAGAAATTTTTTTTTGGTCTTTACTGGGTTTACCTACCATTTGAGTTGTAAATTTCGTTCAGCAAAGGATTAATGAAAAACAATTTGAAGCCAACTACTTCCCATGACACCTTTTCATCCAGAAAGATCTTAGCATCAGCTGAAAAATTAGAAACATTTGAAGGCAAATGTTATCTCAATAAGAACAGCATTTCTTCCATCAAAGCCAAACAAATTAACAAGTGAAAGAAACAGCTCCTTTGTTCTGCATGCCAATTTGCAACTTTCATATGGCGGAACAAAACACAATAAATCATTGAAAATCATATTTACCATTGAAAAATAACTTGCATTCTCCAAAATATTCCCCTAGATCCTTGAAAAAAATTCCGTGTGACCTACAAATAAGAGCATAAAACCTAAAATGAACCAATTGCCTTCAAAATAAACCAAGTTTTAGTTGAACTCAACCAGCTTACAAGTAACAGAGAGCAATTGGGAAGAATCAAGTTAATTTGAGTTTGCAAGTTTTCAGTCTTGAAGAATTAAGACATCTTATGATTCATTAGAAAAAGCTATGTATGTCAACATTAGAACTTCACTTTTAGTTTTTCGTTTACAATAATATATTTCACTTTCTACAGCATCAAAAGAATGACTCTTGTTTGGTACATATTGCAAAATGACAAATTGTAAAACAAGTTTTTTTTCAAAAAAAAAAAATAGTCAGCTTGGTGAATTGTGCTGCCTAACCAAGCACCCAAACAAACAACCAAAAATCATTATCTCCTTTTTTTATTAAAAAAATCATTATCTCTTATAGATATAAAAATTATGCAATGATGCAAAAATTTGACGAAAGCACCAACTCCGTAATTTGGACATCATTAACATAATTTATCTCAAAACCTTAAATTACTATATTTAGGACCACAGTGAATCAATGGAGGCTTTGGTGACAAGAAATGTAATGGCAAAACTTCTGACAATGGAGGCTTTTTGTTTGGATTGTAAGTTATTTGGGATTATTTGGAATATTTTTACTGTATCACTTTTTGTGATGTGATGTATGTGAGATAAAAAGATAATTGGGAAGGTAAAAAGGTGTATTGAAAATTGTAATGATGATGTAAGCAAATAAAACTGGGTAAATAATGCTCAATCCAAACAAACCATATAGATGTAAGTTTGACCGTTAAATTTTGTTGAATTTTTTGTCATTTACACACTTTTCCCCTGAATCAAAAAATAGAGTTTTGTATTCAAATGTGTCTTGTTTAGAAAATTTTCCTTGTTTTGAATACATATTTAACTAGTCTATATAAATTAAGGGGAAAGATGAATTGGATAGTTCAGGAGAAGGGAGCATCAAATGTGAGTTCTTGAGTTCAATCTCTCTCACTTATATTATATATATTTTTAAATGTAGTCAATAAACTCTGCATTTCAGCAATATTAGGAAGACCAATTCAGCAGCACATTTCAGAATGAATTACCGCGTGGAAATGCCTAAGAAATCAGCACACATGTGGAAGCCAAGTGTAAGTCAACTTTGACAGGCAATTCCTTTGTGATTTCCATTTTTTTTTTTGCAGAATTCTTTATCATTATTACAATATTACTTATATTACTATATTTTATACCACATGAGAAGCT